GCCGCCCTCCGATCCTGAGGATCCCGCGCTGCCCGGAGCCCGCACCGCCTTCTCACTCGCATCGACGCCAACCGACCTGACCCGGCCTGGCTCTGCCCGGCCAGATAGAGCGTAGAGCAGCAAGCAAGTAGGTGTCCGCCCTGTGCTCGGCGTCGTATAGGGGCCTCCAGAACTACAGACCCCAGCAGGCCTCGCGCCTGCTTTGCGCATGTCTGGGGTGCACGGCTTTCCGGGATTTGTAGTTCGCCGCGGGTAGGCTGGGGGTTCCACTAGGCCCGGCCGGGAGGCGGGCGCTGCGGGGCGGACTCTGGAGCGCGCTAGCGGTCCGCGTACGTGCCGTTCCGGAGCCGTGAGCCCTCCCTCCGTTCCCGAAGAAGCTAGGCACACTTTGGAGAACAGAGGAGGCTACAGGTTTCCTCTTCCCCTCGCTATAAAGCCGCCCGCAGAACAGGGAAGAGCGCGTAGTCCAAGTGACCTCAAGCCCGAGCCGGGCCCCAGGTGTCCGGGTTCCAAACCGGGATGGGGAGTGTTAAGGAAGAGACGAGCCCAGCAGTCTTGGGGTGAGGAGGAGCTCTGTGGGCCCCCAGCCCGACCCGGGACTCCAAAGAGGTGCAGGGGGTGTGGCTGCGCTGGGGCCTGGACTTGCCATCTCAGGTAACAGGATCGCGTCGCCTCGGCCGGTGCTGGGCCTGGGGGCAGGCTGTGGGCGGGGCCTAGCTTGTGTACTTGGGCTTCATTTACCCGGGAGAAGGCTGAAGGGAGAGGGCCTGGGGCCAGATACCCATGGACTGGCCTCCTGTCCTCAGGGCAGCACTAGGCCCTCAGAGCACAGGACGCCCTCCCCTAGGACATGAAGCTGTTGGAGAACTCGAGCTTCGAGGCCATCAACTCACAGCTGACTGTGGAGACTGGAGATGCCCACATCATTGGCAGGTGAGGGTGGGGCTCGGGGAGCTGGGGTCTTAGAGCTCCCTCTGCCCTGGCCCTGAGGGGAACCTGGGGGTGGCATGCCACGGTCCCACCTGTATCCACCCTGCAGGATCGAGAGCTACTCCTGTAAGATGGCGGGAGATGACAAGCACATGTTCAAGCAGTTCTGCCAGGAAGGCCAGCCACACGTGCTGGAGGCCCTGTCCCCACCCCAGACCTCGGGCCTCAGCCCCAGCAGGTGAGCCTGGGCAGGGCCTGCCCACGGGGGCTGTCGGGCGCAGGGCAGTGCTGGGCTGACGCTTCTCTGTGCAGACTGAGCAAGAGCCAAGGCGGTGAGGATGAGGGCCCCCTGAGCGACACGT